GCAGCACCCTTATCTCGTGGCAAGTTAAGAAATAAGATAACAATAGCTCGATCATCTAAATATAGATCACTAGTTGCTGCTGCTTTTAACATTATTAGGCTTCGTTGACATCTACAAGAGTTCCGTGTTGATATTTCATAACTTACTTCCCTATTTTGTGACAATATATTAGCAAATTCTCTTGCAAACAATCCTATTTTCATGCATGAACTAAACACATTGAAATATATCTTCATTTTGTTCGTGACTACATCTAGAACAATGTTCTGCATATCTCTCATATGTATGCAAATGATCGAATTGCTGATCTTTTTATCAAAGCACTTTCATTCATCGATTCATCTATCTTGAGAGGAAGTGAGCAAAACACTTTATATAATTAGTTGCATATACATATGCTCTCTAACTATATGGCAGGTTACCTTTTTCTAAATTTCTGCAATCACCATTGATGCTCAATTGCTTTATCTTTGTCGTTGATGCCATTATCCTTCTTTACTTACTGTACACTATATGTATTCTACTTTAATTTCTCCCTAAACGATTATAAACAAAGGTCTGATCGCATAAATATTTATATTTGCATTATAACTGTTATTACTTTTTAATTGTTTGCTTATTTTGTTTGATCTTAACTATAATTTTGAATCACACTAATGATGAACATGGCATCACTATGTATGATGCACGCACGCACAAAATTATATTTTTAAGGGGGATTTACATGCATACCACTTTTTCTTGTATATTACATATTTAACACCTAGTACTTAAATATTACACTACTACCACCCAAACACTATTTTTACAACAAATATACCACTCCGTCAACAACATCGCTCACTCCGTCTCTTTCATTCTTCCCGCGTGAGCTTTCTGCACGAGAATAGGTTTTTTCCGGCGAGTATGTCTGTAGCGACTCTTTCCAAGTGTACTCCGTTTATGCATTTCCCGGGTGAGCTCTACTCCTTTTTCTTCCCTAGTTATTCTTCTCCATGCGTTTCTGCATTAGCTATCCTCCTTTGTCTTCCCAAGTTAAACTTATGGTTAGCGAACATAAGAAATACTTATGTTTCTGTAGAAGATAGTGTGGCTTCAAGATCAGAAAACTTATGTTTTGTTCGTTTTCAATTGAAGAGTCAATGGACTGGAAAATATAACTATTTCTAAGGGATCAGTTTGAGAGCTGCCTTACATATGCAAATGAGCTGGAATCAATTGCATGTCTTTAATCTGCTACTTGCCCGAGGTAGACGCAAATGTCTTGGATGCATTTTTAAAACCTTGCTTTGTATAAACTTATCAAATTAATTATACTAGTGACTGGGAGAATTATTTCAAACCATATATAGGTTTATTCAAGTGGCATATATTTCAATTATCTCCATCTGTGAATCCTTCCGGCTGCAATTCAGTTAAAGAAGATGCAAAAGAAACTACAGTTTTCACCGGAACAAAACGACAACAGAGGGTTCCATGAGAAATGTGCTGGAAGCCTTCAGCGCAAGCAATGAGGACGTTCCGCTGTTGGGTGGTTAGGTATTGTCGAATGAGAGAGACGGAGTGAGTGATTCTATTGACGGAGTGGTATTTTTGTTGTCAAAATAAGTTTTGGGTGGTAGTAATGTAATATTTAAGTATCGGGTGTTAAATATGTAATATAAAAAAAATAAAGTGGTATGCATGAAAATCCCCCTATTTTTAATTATTTCGAATGTTGACTGTAACTGCTGCCAACCCCCACGATTCAAACTACCAACCCCTTGTCACCCGCGACCTCAAAATTGCATCCCACGATCGCACAACCACCCACACTCGCGACACAAAACCAAAGGCCCCCTCTCATTCGCACCCTTATGCTATCAGAACCGCATGCAAGAAGGTCCAAGGAGATACCTTTTAGTCTAAAGATCTTCTGCACAGTCGAAGCCCTAGAACTCTTCTGCGCCTGACGCCTGCAAGCCCAAACTCCTGCCCACGATCAAGCCGCCGTGCCCTATATCTTCCCGTCCGAGAAAAAGTCCTAGCCATCTATCGCTGACGTGCTCTACAACCGGCCGCTGCCTCCACCTCCTGCTCCGACCTGACCAGTCGCTGGCCCGAAAGGCTGTCAAATTTTTTAGGGGAATAAAAATATTTTTAAAAATAATTAAAATTAAATTAAATTGTTTAATTAGCATGTCGCACATTAAAAGACTCGAAGACTATTATTGGGATTAATTTACTCTCCCAAACTCCTCACCATTGATTTGATCCGGTCGAGTCGAGCCAAAAGAGCAAGTGCTGCTTAATCAATGACTTGGAGCGCAATTCAAAAATAAAACTTGTAATTTGATAAAGTGACTGCTTCAATTGAAATGCAAATAAGGATTAAGGAAAGGATGCAATGATCCGCTTATAACTTATAACGTCATACTTTAATGAAAGTTGAGAATTAGCTACTTCAAAAAGAATGTAGAGCCTAATGAACAAAGAATAAGAGAGTTGCAAAAGTTAATGATTTAGCAAAGTGGAGAAGTTGCGAGGAAGATAGTTTGCCTGCTATCACCAAGAGCTAGTGGGAATCTATCTTGCAAATATATACAGCAGTTTCCACGAACACTGAAATACATGCAAATAAATGCAGCAATTCGTCGATCATTGTGTAGAAGGAAATTGATAACGAATGTAGCATCTTCCCTATGCTCAAAATCAGCTAGTTTATGAATATATTGGCCCACCCACAAGTGATGACAACTCGCCAAAGTGAATGTAATAATACCCTGCAGTTCATATGCAAGGAAAAACTATGAATCCACTACAAATATAAGTACATACGAGCAATTGTAGGAGTACCCACAAGTAATTGTAGAAGCTTGTCACATGCATAGTGGTCCACCTACAACATAAGAAATACAATAAACACACGAATGCTTGCATTGATATGAGCGATATTCATGATGTACACATTGTTTCACTCACATGCAATAATAGATAAATCATCAAATGCATTAAACTCCTACAAATGGCAGTAATGGGCATGTATTGATTGTAAAGATGCCCTCATATAGTCAATGTCAATCAAGCATCTAGCAAATACATGAGTTTCCTACAAGTCAGAGGAATTGACATGCAACAAAGGCAACGAGCTGCTCACACCAGCAGATTCGCAGCATGTGTACAAGCGGACAGAAGGCGTTCATAGACCCTCAAAAGAAATTTTGACTATTTTCTAAATGAAATCACTTGCCCAATGGATCATATTGCAAAACCCTCTTATGCACTAAATATGATTCCCTAAACTGAAGTGCAACTCCTGCATGTGCTCCGACAAACATGTTAAAGTTAGAAACACAAGAGTTTGAGAATGATGTGCATGGTCAAATGCTAAGTCTATTTTCAAACTAAACAGACATGCATGTGCTCCGACAAACGTGCTGAAGTTATAAACACAAATGTCTAAGAATGTTGTGCAGGGTCAAATACTCATTCTATTTTCAAACTAAATAAAACTCATACGTGCTCCGATCGTCACATATGATTCCTAAATTCAACGATCTGACAATGCTACATGGGTCAAATATTCAAGTTTCATCTTTCTCCTCGAAAGGATTAGAGTCGACCTGACTTGAATCATAAAATTCCTCCCAAATTCCAACAAAAATACAGTGACTTTAATGTCACTCCGATGATGGCCATGTTGATCGAAAATCTCAACCAGAGGGATTAAATCTCAAATCCAACAAAAATATATATCCCTGAAATGAAATCTAATCTAAAAAACTTAAAACTAAAATAATCTACCTCCCGCAACCGTTTGTCGGGAGCAATAAATTTAAAATTAAACTCAGCTCACAAAAAGTGAATGTTGTGTTTGATGTATCACTAAGATTCATCCTCAAATAGTATCTTGTCAGCAGGGATGTAGCACGTGTCGTTTGATCGGGTGATTTTGCCGCAAAATGGCACATTTCTATTATGATTATGACCAAAGCCTATATGTTCCCTAAATGCTTCAAACCCTTGAGTTATGAATTATAGGGTATATTTGATAGGCATAAATCCCTCTGTTAGCTAAGGTGGATTCATATATATCCCCTTAAACAAACATCACCCCAGGTTTACAATGTATTTTTGGACTAAGCAACTCATGGCTGCCGATAAGGTCTTTTATCAGGTTGGGTCGACTACCACCTCTGACTAAGTAGACCAGGAAACATGACAACCCGGGATGACGGAACTATGGGATCTTGATTGGGCTCGTCTTCATTCCCCCCCCCCCCCCCTCACCTTAAAACTGTTGCTACTATACGTTGGATTTAGAACCTATGTAACCGCTTTAACAACTAGCATCAATCAAAAGTTCTCTCTCATTATCGAGAGGGGTAATAAACAATAGAGGCTTACGCTTATAGGAAACCAGAACTCTGATCATAAAGTCCTCACAAATTGAGGTCAAAATCTTTGGGTAGTGTCTTATCTAAAATTCAATCTACCTTCTGAAAATTCACCCGAAACCTAAATTTGATAAAACTCTCCGCCGTCACATAATAACAAACAAGAAAAGATAACGATGGCACGGAGAGGCCGATGACGCACAAAATGAAATTTTCAGAGCCCACACCAAGGCTTCATTATATAAATAATTTAGATTTGATATAAGATAACACTTACATCTTTCTACTATCCCCAATTTCGTTTTTTACGATAATTGAAGCCTATGCAAAGTTCTAATACTGAAGAAGGTTTAATACCAGAAGATGTCAAAAATTTCAGTCTCTCCAGGCCAGAGAATAAAAAAACTTATCCTACGAAAACCGAAAAATGTTCAATAAATTTTGATTAAAATGGATCTCAAGCCATTTGATATAGTGTTAAAGCAAATGACGCTTATATCTAATCAAATGAGGTCAACGATTAGCACCAGTAAGAAATTCACACATTACTCAAAAAATTCTACAACTGCTCTGCAGAAAAACTAGAAAGCTAAAACAACAAAGTAAATTACCATTTCCTTCAAATGGAATTGGAAATAAATACTCCTAAGTAGCAATTACTTGATACAATGTGGATTAGAAAGAAAGAAATGTTACATATCAAGGCTTAATTAAGTGACATAAAAGTTATGCTAAAACAAAACTACAAAAATAAATAACAATGCTAAGCATCACTCTCTACCTAATTAATTAATTGCGTACACAGCACAAATAAACCTACATCAACAGGAAGACCTAAAGATGACAAAGGTTACAACAAGGGTTAAGTATAGCAGGAAGCCTAACTTTCATTTCCATGAGATGCCTGATAGGCCCTGTAGGTTGCTGTCATTGCATGTCCCAGTGCTTTGGTTTAGCGGACTAGGCGGCCCTCCGTATGACTCACTCAGTGTTCCTCGAGAAGGCGGACTGATACCTCCAGTTGTCACCCCAACGCGGACAACCCCACCACCGCCACCACTACCACCATAAAAGTTGTCACCAGGAGCAAGCTTCGCCATGTTGGTTATGCCATCAAGGAGATTAATATTCTTCAATTCTTTTTTTCCATCAGCTATGAAACTTCCCACGACAACCTAAAATGATTCGAAGAGATGCAGTTTGTTGATGTTTTCTTATACAACAATGGTGACCAATATTTAGAAACCATGTAGCCAAAATATATCAGAAAAATGGTTTTTGGCTTTTTGTATGAATGTTTCAAAAGAGAGAATACTAATGCTGACGAAGTAATAGTCACTTATGGCTTTTGGGTTTTTATCCATCTTGAGTATTTTGATCTGGATGTTGGCAAGTTAATCGAGTTATTGTGCAACTATTGAAATCAAGATATGTGTATTCAGCAAAATTCAACATGATTCCCATTTCTTATTTTTTATTTTCAGCTAAAAGGAATCTCTTCAAATTTTGTGATCCCTCAAATCATAGGAGTTTCCAGAAATAAGAAATGTCAAATAAACTGAGAAAATATAATGCACATGTAATAGGCACCTGTTGAAATCATGTGGTAGAGACTTATGCTTCATTTGGAATGGCTTTTTTACTGTTTTGTAAAGCTATTTTTTTAGTACAAAAATCGATTGAAAGTAGTAAAACAATTGTGGTGTAAAACTGTCCCAAATAAAACTTTTGAGACTGTGATAAGAAGTAAGAACTCACATTTATTCTCGTTAGAAGCTTCCCATCTATGATGCACCGACACTTCTCCTCAAAGAGACGTGCAGTATCCGACACATATCCGACACGACACTCGTCCGACACTCCTCCGACACGTGTCGAACACGCTGAAAACATGTTTGATTAAAAAAATATTAAATAAAAATTGGACACGCGTGTTCGCAACACGTATCTTAAATATTTTATGAATTTTTTAAAAATATAATTTCTTGTATTTGGCAGGATGCCGGTATTTTTCCACAACACCAAATCGACGTCCCCACTTCACCCATTCATTGAATATTCTTATTTTCATTTCTCTTTGACAGTGAAGGTTTTTTCATTTCCTCTCAGTGACTGATAAACGACATCGACGCCTGACTCCCGACATCCTAATACTAATCATTTTAAGTACAAATTATAGTTAAATGACTTATTATTTTCAAATTATTTTTAAAATTATACTTATTTAATTTTTATACACTATTTTTAAAATATAAAAAACTATAATATCATGTCCAACACGTGTCTGTGTCCTATATTTTCAATAATTAACGTGTCCCGTGTCTGTGTCGTGTCGTATCCGTGTCGCCATGTCCATATCTGTGCATCATAGCTTCCGATCAAACATAATCTTTGCATTGAAGGAAATGCAAGTTTTATTGATTGAGAAAAGTTATATTTTATTTCTTAGTTTTAGATTAATTATATGGTTTAATTAAATGTGCCATATTCTCAGTTCTTGATTTTGTTTGTATTTTTTTTTTTTGCATGAAAGAGTACAACACATCATGTATTATCAAGCAAATTTATGGAAGGAATTAGTATCAATCAGAATAAATGCCAACCTGGACAGGAGATGCAGCCGTGAGAAGTCCCGCAACCCCACCGCCAAGGACACGACCATCAGGACCAGCTAAAGAAATGCTCAGACCACCAGTTCGACTACGCTGATCATCATTCTCTGATAGAAGAAACGATCCAGACAATGATAATATTTCAAACCGACCGTAAATACAAGAGAAAAGATTTCATAAGAACTTCCAGCTCTCATTCCACCTAAACTTCACATTTTATCTGGTAAAGTTCTAAATATTTTTTCTTTGTTGAACTGATAGAAATTATTTTAACAAAAGAATCAGAATTATAGACACTTTTTTTCATATATTGCCTGATTAGACAAACCTCATAAGTTACAGTTCCACCAGAAGTTGCTGCTTGCCGAAGAGTCACATTAGATATTGCCCCATTTGCTGAAAGAATGCAAATAGCGCGAGGTCCATGCTGGAAAAATGACATGATCTTTGATGATACATCCTGTAGAAAACAAGATAACTTTACAAATAAATAATTTTTATGTTCAAAATATTATCATTGTAAGATTGCAAAATATTTAGGACATATATGAAAGTCTATTAATTTTACCAATAACCATATGAATATAATTGAAATTCATCATTGGGTAACGTATTCCAGCGATCAAATACATAAATAACAAGTTCACGAGCGAAAAAATTGAATAAATAAGTAGATACGCTAAAAAAACTGGATTGAACTTAGGAAAAGTATCCATTATAAGATTTTTTATGTTTCCATAGCCACAGACACATTAACATCTAAACCATTGTTAAGAAAATATCATTTTTATACTTATTTTTGGAAAAAAAAATCATTTTTATACAAGAGAAACTGGAGAAATTATTCCGTGCGGACACCAGATGAACCAGAGACCAACCAAAATGCGCCACGCACCTGGTACCGAGCAAAAAAGTAACGTGGCGCATTCTGATTTGTCTCCGGACGCCATCCGAGGTCCACACAGAATATTTTTTCAAAGTAAAATTGAGAACGTTTGATCACATCAAAGGAAGTACCTTTTATTTTCTTTTTAAAGATAGCATAAGGACCAGAAAGTGGACCCAAGTGCGATTCAATTAAATGGAAGTAAACTGACAATAATAATGACAAACACAAGATGTGTATAAAGATGCTCATAGTTATGGTCATATATGTAGAAGAGCCATTAAATGCACAACTAAACTATCCATATTAACAATCTTTATACACAGAGGTCAAGTGAAACAAATAAAAAAACAAAAAAGAACATTTATGAGGTACCCAAATAATTAAATAGTACATTTTTTTAAGGAAAAAAATAATAATTAGTAAATTTTTTATCAGTATGTAATACAAATTAGTATAAGCTGTGCAAACATTAGTTAGGAACCTGATTATTTAATTAAATAAAAAAACTATTTGCTTTATTTTGGGATGAAGGTTACCATAAAAAATCTCTAAATTTACCTATTAAAATTGAAAACAGCAAATGAATAGAATTTACAATATTATTTAACAAGAACATATGGGTAATGTTAAACTGACAGCATAAATATACAAGTTCATGAACATCAACCAGAAAATTGAGGGCCTAAACAATACCTCTCCAGCCTTAACAGTAATAACATGTGGAGTAAACCCAGTCCCTGCTGATCCTGCAGTAAATTCTCCTTTGTGAAAATTATTTGTATAAAATAAAATGAATAATGCTAAATTACATGATGTCTACAGAAATGTGCAGAACCATATCAAGAATTAACGAATTACTAATAAATTCTTCTGTTTTTAAATACAAATCTACACGCTTTTTAATTTGAAAACCCATAAAATAATCAATTATAAGAAATAAACAGCACAAAAAAAAAAAAAAAAAAAAAAAAAAAAAAAAAAAAAAAAAAAAAAACGCCTGCCCTCCATCCAAATCAATCCATGTGTGTAACAAAACAAAACTTTCGGGGAATAAAAAAGCACATCTAAGATTATCTAACTTAATAACAAAATAACTTATTATCCAAAGAAAGTCTTCAGGGCTACTGGAAAGATGACACTTAGCATGCACATTGAATGCAGCCACGCAACAGCCTAAGAGATTTCTTTTGGATTGGTATTTTGGTCACATAGAAATTTAGTCGATTTATTATAAAATTTTCTGTAAATTTCATCCATATTTTATCATAGATCAAACTTCATATCCATATTTTTCGTGTAATTTATTAGCGATCAATTATTGAAATGTTCTCCATGAAACTATCAAATATAATTAATTCGCACAAAATCAAGACCAAGACCATGGGCAGAAATGGAATTTCATATATCTTCATTCCTGGACATTAGAACAACCCATATGATTTTCCTTCACTTTGACGAAGCCATGCTCCGCAAAATACATCACTACACAGTTAACCAACCTATCCGCCCCACCACACTCTGCCCTTTACCCATCAGTAATAAACGCATAATGTCAGAACCAAAATTATAAAAAAATAATCAAAACGGTAGAAAACGACAGAGCATAAAACATTTGTAGCCACCCATAACAAGATAACAACTACATTACCAAGTGCAAGCAACTGATGCTTCTTCCCAGATCCCGAAGGCTTTCCCCTTGCTTTCTTCAAGGGATCAGAAACAGAAAGATCTGTGTTTATCTGCCCAGCCGATAGAAGAGAAAAGCCTGGCGTTTCAGCTGAAGTTGGGGAAATTGTGGTAAGAGCAAGAGCCATACTTCCATCAGGGCCATACTTTCTTGGCCTCCCTCGTTTCTTCTTCACCAGACCGCCGCCACCACCCACATTTAGTCCACTGGGAGTCACCAGTGATGCAGCCGGAGGACCATCGGGGGAGACAACAGCATTACCACCATGAAATGGGGAAACTGAGCTACTAGAGATTGTCGTCATAGGTGTGGTTGGGGTAATTGGCTTATAAACTGCGGTGCCATCGGGAGTGACAGTGAGCCGCATACCAGAGATCGATGGCTGTGTTACCAGAGAGCTTTTGGGCATGCTCATAGTGAAAGAGGGCTCAGATCTCACATCCATGACTTCAATGAGAAGTCTCAAAAAGCCTAAGATCAGAGTAACACGCTAAAAGAAGCCTTTTTTTCTATTCTGGAAGGGAAAAACGGAAAATTTTGGGAACTTCTGCAGAAAGGACTCGGAGAAGCAATGCGTTTCCAGATACAGAAAGAGGAGAAGGAAAGCAACGAAACCTCAAAAATCATAAACCCAGATAAAGATTACTGGGACAGGGGAAGCAGCGGGGTTGCTGCAGCCAGAGCAGGAAATTTACAGCACATAGGAAAAATAACTGAAGAGGGAAAGGTTGAAAAAAATGAAATTTAGCTCCCAAGCGGAGTTTAAGATTAAACGAAAAAAGAATGATGAAGCTAAAAGCAGTGACACGATCTGAAGGAAAAAAAATTGGAAATTCCGAAGAAACTCCACAAAAATCTCACCATTTTCTCAGATTTTACAGTAAAATTCACGAAATCTTTGAAAATTCCAAGAAAATGCACTGAAAAACGGAAAAATGAAGAAAAAGGGTAGAAGTAGCAGGAAAAAAAAAAGTAGCTCACGTTTGATGAGCAAGCACCAAACACTGGAGGCCAAGAGAGACCTAAATGTGAGCAATCGCAGCAATAATTCTGCTACCTTCTTTCAAAAAATTTCCCTAAACTTTATTTAATTTCGCATAAATCTTTCTGTCCTATCGAAGTTTTTTTTTTTTTTAATTATAAAAAAAGGAATGTAAAGCAAGCCGAAATTGCTAAAATAAGATTTTTAAATGTTATTTCTTTTCTATTTACTGCTTGCCTTATTTTAATTACATATCTATCCAGATAACTAGTTTTGAAAGTAGAAAGAAGTATATTAGTAGGTACATGCTAGTATAGAAAATCCTAATAATGACATCCGTATTAAAGATAAACAAAAGGGAGAGGGCCTGGATCATTACAAGTGGGCCACAGCAAAAAAAAGCAAAAGAAGAATCCCCTCAATTTGTAAGATGAGTTTCCGGTTATGTTTGTAGTGCGTATCAAAAAGATAGTCTAGTAGCCACTTCAGAGGGTGTGGACACCAAAGAGGGGTTTGAAACAAACATTGGTTGGTGTCCCAGTGCTCTAGCGATGGTCTAGCTATTTTGTAGTACCACTTCAAACCATAGTGTGGAAACTTACAATCAAGCATTCGAGGGGATCAAGTCCTCACCCATGATGTCGTTTGAAGCCTTCTTCTTTCTTGGGAATATGGTCCAAGCTGTTGAAGCTCCTTCTCAAAGTGTTGTTTGGAGACTCGTTGTTGTTGCATTTTTAGATTTAGAACTGTGTTGAAAATTTTCTCCATGTTTTATACTTTGGTGATAGTGGATTGGCCACTTGGGCTTACTACTAAGTATAATGATAAGGGTGTCAATATTTAACATGACCCGAAAACTCGACTCGAATTCTACCAAAAAAATTGATTTCGGGTCAACACATTTAACAAATGGGTCGGATTCGGGTTCAAATTTCTAACCTGTTTGAAAAAACAGGTCGGGTCCGGGTCAACCTGCTAACCCAAAAAATATCCGAAGGGACTTGTTAGCATAATTAGACCGCATCCCATCATGCATGTGACCTCGCATCGGAGCACATGCCTGCTAGCATATGTCTTCACATTGGACCATATCTCACCTACGGCCGACTCTGCATCGAACCATGTCCCTTCTTGCACCCGAACCAGCACGAAGACCGTGTCCCCGCACTGGACCACGATCTCGCCTATGCATAACCCTGCATCAAACCTCTTCCCTCTTGCTAGTAACCCCACTTGCACGCAACCCTGCTTGCAAGAGATCCCTTCATCACGTACTGATTCCTACTTTTGTTTGCACACTGCATTTCGCTAATTGGGTTAGATCGGGTCAACCTGGTAACCTGACAGATCTAGTTTGAGTCGGTTAAACAACATTGGGTAAATATCAGATTTGACTCGAACCCAACCAATAACCCATTTTTAACACCCCACTAAAAGAGGGTAGTTTGTTGCTCGTAGAACTATTGTTTGGAGGAGTGAAAGCTGGGTTGGAACCTTGATCATAAATCTCAATGTTACTATCCACTGAGAGAGGAGGCAGTGTGGGAAGAGGGGCTTTGTTGGGAAAATTTTATGTATATTTCTATTGTATTAGCTACTTTGAAGGAGCATTAACCACAATTAAAGCATATATAAGAAAGTCCCAAATATTCAATCTTTTGGAAGAATCTTCCTTGCAACACCATTATCATAATCCCTTGTTATAATTCTCTTACAGGGTCAATTCTAACACACCCTCAAACATAAGAGCTATGTCCTCATGAGCTCATTTGGGAGTCCATCCATAATCGTTCCCCAATCATTTTAGAAATATGATTAATGCTTGAAGTATCCCAATACATTAGGGGAAGCTGTGTTAGCTGAATCCAAATTAGAGAATGAAATCTTTGTAGAGAGTTAGGGGAGAATGTGGGTAATTGTTGATACAAACCAATGATATCTCTAGCAATGGTCCAACAACCTCCCATAAGCACAACAACACAGGCATATTCACTTCCAAAAATAAATATGAAGTAGTTGGGAGCAATTGTAATCAATTGAATTTTTTCCAAGTGAGACCATTGAAAGTTCGTTAGGGTTATTAAGCCCTTATGAACTAGCCCGATGCTAACCAAGGGGGGTGGGGTGGGGTGAATTGGTAGTTTTAAAAATTATTATACACAAAGTAAAAAACTTTTTAAAACCTTTTTGAATATTTTAAAACAAATGCAATCAACCAAAGAAATTAATATGGAGAAATAAAGTACATGAATAACATAGAAAAGAACACATCAAATTTTATAGTGGTTCGGTCAACATAACCTACATCCACTCCCTTGAGCCTCTCCTCCAAGTATTTTACTAAAACACATTGACTCTCTTTTTGCTCTCATAGCAAAGCAGAGAAGTCTTTACAAACTCCTTTTCATAAACCCTGGTGAGGCAGAGAACCTGAACTCTTTTTGCTTCCTCCTGAAGCAAGCATTGAACCTTGATCGATTGCTGAAGAAGACCTTCCTAGAGCCACTAAGGAGCCAAGGATGATGAATGGAGAAGATGACTCAAATCTTTGCTTAGAGTAACCTTTGTGAATAGCTTATAAACTCCCCTTCAAAATATTTTTCTCTCTCTCCCAAGCTCTCCCTCTCCTTCTCTAAGTTCTCTTAGATCAGGAAAGCAGTAAAAGATCTTAACATCAATAACTAAGAGATCTTATAATGAAGGGTTTAAATTTGCCCTAATTTGAAACTTGTAGTCAAAGATCATCCAGGATAATCAACAAATCATCCTATACGATTAGTATACTTAAGCACTTTTAATCAAGATGATCTAGGTGGGTTGGATGATTAGAACACATTATTTATTCTAATCGTCCAACATGATGTGGTCATCATCCTAAATGAATAGTTCAAAATCATATAAATCATCCAGCACATCATTTTGTTTATTCAGGAGATACATATTTGATGATGAAGAAATATAACTTATCGTCTATGATGATGCTCGGATCGTCCTATATGATTAGTTCAAAATTAGTGAATATTATCTAGCAAATTGTTATGGTCATCCAAGTGATTCATCTAAATGATGTTGAATTTCAATTGATTTGTCCTACATATCATTCTAATCATCTGGGATGATCCTGCTATCATCTAGGATTATAGAAAAATTAGTTAATCAAAAGAAATATAGATGAATAATTGGATCACTTCTTTATTTAACTACTAGCAGATTTTATATAATATTTAGTGTTTATCTCTGTACTAGATTTCAAGCTGATCCTAAAAAATCTCACTTGACTACAGTTAAGAGAACCCTTGATACTCTTAGGAACCCTAAACTTAAAAATATGGTATCCTAGGTACAACACTTCTTTTAAAATTATTAGATATTCTGATTTTGTAGGATGTAGGGTGGATAGAAAGAGCACCTTTAGAACTTGCCAATTCATAGGATAATCTTTAGTCTCCTGGTCCAGTAGAAAATAAAATTCTATTGCACTATCGACTCCTGAAACTGAGTACATTATCTTAGAAAGTTGTATGGCCAAAGTCCTTCAGTTGAAGTAACAAATTCTAGATTTAGGATTATTTGTAGGCACAATATCAATTCTATTTGATAACTCTAGTTCCATCTGCATCTCTAACAATCTTCTCCAATATTATACCACTAGAGATAAGCTTCATACCTTATCTTCATATCCTGATTTTAACTAGCGTCCCATCAACTAATTACTAAGGAACACTAATGCCACCTTACATGATGGTGCCTCGAACACCTTAGTAAAGGATGCTAGGATAATTCAACATATTCTTAGAATTTCAATGATTCTAAAGGTTGGTGACCATGTTCACATCACTCCCCCACTCTCAATCACCACCTATTACATAATAGTAAATAGAAATTTCAATACCACTAATCTTCTCGTTTGCTATATAAAGCACCTAACTAGTATTAAGGATTTAAGGCATAAAAGAGAACCCAATCTTTCCTTAGGACACATTATAGATTTTGTGCTTGAAACCAAATACAACCTTTAAAATCCTATCCCATCAAACTATCAACCTACCTACTACACCAATAACTCCTTCCATGTTCTTCACAATACTCATCTCCATCCGAGGCATGAGGAGGCTGAGGGAGCTGAGGAGGAAGCTATTCCTACACTTATTCCTATCCGCCAGTAGTCCAAACTGGATAAGTTGGTGGAGAGGTTTGACCAGTGGGAGGCCAGGTTTAACTCCTACGTTGTTTCACAAGAGCAATAACATGCGGTAGATGTTGATTGATTCAATGCATATATAGCCCAGCAACAGCAACATCATGACTAGGTTATGTCCTGGTTTGGGGAGTATTTTTCTTCCATTCATAGTCTTTTTCAACCACCACCACCTCCTCCTTTACCTGATCAGGGTCCCTCGTTCTTGTAGTTTACTTGATATTTTTTATGTGATATTTTTGCACTGGTGTTAGTTTCTGTTCTATATTTTTTTTTCTTTGTATTTCATTTATGTTTCTAATTTTTATGATATCAAAAAGGGGAGTAGTGTTAGTGTTATTGTTGTATCATTTAGTGTTTGTACTATTTTTATTGTATCACCTATGTATTTTAATAAAATATGCATTGGTTTGATTACACTATTCTCTTTTATTTTATGGTTCATTTTTTTTTTAATTTGAATAATTTAAATTTCCTAATAAATGTTTGCCATCATAAGAAATGGGGAGGTTATTACAAATATGGATTCACTGATTATAATTTTGATGATTGTAAACATTCTTAACTTTTTTGTTTTCTTACTACTGTTACTATCGCACATCTATTTGGTTACCCTACTATTAACTTTTCAAGTCCATAAGTTCAATTGCTAATCAAATCAACTCAAGATTGGGTAGATTATGACTGAGTTAGTTTGTAAGTGTAATTCTAGTGATTTTTTATTTTCTTGACTCAAATGTAATAAGGTGGATTCTGATGCTAAGTTATACACACATACATAGGGGGAGAAATTTTATAGGTTCAAGAGTTTTTCTATTTTTGATGAT